CTAACTCTTGTTGATTCAAACGAGGTCTAATGTGAGTCGATTTGAGCGAGGTCGAATGCTAACTCTTGTTAATTTGAACGAGGTCGAATGTGAGTCGATTCGAGTGAGGTCGAATGCTAACTCTTGTCAATTCCAACGAGGTCGAATGTGAGTCGATTCGAGCGAGGCCGAATGCTAACTCATGTTGATTCGGACAAGGTCGAATGTGAGTCAATTCGAGCGAGGTCGAATGCTAACTCTTGTCAATTCGAACGAGGTCGAATGTGAGTAGATTCTAGCGAGGTCGAGTGCTAACTCTTGCTAATTCGAATGAGGTCGAATGTGAGTCGATTCGAACGAGGTCGAATGTGAGTCAATTTGAACGAGGTCGAATGTTAACTCTTGTTAATTTGAACGAGGTCAAATGTTATTCGAGACTGGCGTAATGTATAAACATATAATCTTGGTAAAATGAGAAACTCGTTTGTATAACAACTTTGCATCATTGGAGTTTACATGTTTTTGTTCTGTTCGTGCATACATTGGAGAAGTCCCAGTCTATCTAGTCCCTTCATTAGTCGGCATGGAGAAGCAGTCGAGAGGTCGAGCAATGAAATGCGTGCTTTGTACTTCGAGATGCCCTCTTCGTCGCATTGTTAAAAACCTCCCCGAGAAAACCCAATTAGGACAAAACTCGGGTAAGGGAAAAAGAGTACAACTTAGGAGGACTCTCCTTTAGAAGTTGAAATACTTGAGGTGAGCGACGTTCCCATTGTTTGGTAGCAGCTTTCCATCCATTGTTTCCAGCTGGAACGACCCTTTGTTTACTGCTGCAGTGATTTTGTATGGGCCGTCCCAATTGGTTCCTAGTTTGCCTTCTCGTGGGTTTTTGCTTGCTTGGATTTTGGCTTTGAGTACGTAGTCTCCGGCTTTGAGTGGTCTAACTTTGGCTTTTTTGTTGTAGTACTGCTCTGCTTGTTGTTTTTGTGATATCATTCTTACGTAGGCCATGTCTCTTCGCTCTTTGGCCTCGTCGAGGTCTTGTCTTCTGCTTTTATCAATGATTGGCCCGCTTTCATTGCATATCTTAGGCTTGGCTCACCGACCTCGATCGGTATCACTGCATCAGTCCCGTAGACTAACGAGTATGCCATTTCTCGTGTGCTTGTTTTCGGCGTGGTGCAGTATGCCCATAGCACTTCGGGTAGCAACTCCGGCCATAGTCCCTTGGCGTTCTCGAGTTTCTTTTTCAGGATGCTCAATATTGATTTATTGGAGGACTTCGCCTGGCCGTTGCCTGCAGGGTGATAGGACGTGGAGAGAATCCTTTTGATATGCCACTTTTCAAAGAACTCAGCGGTCTTTGCCCGGTGAACTGTAGCCTGTTTTTGCAGCTTATTTCTTTGGGGATGCCAATGCGGCATATGATGTTTCTCCATATGAATGTGATTACTTCTTGCTCGCATATTTGGGTGAAGGCACCTTTTTCCACCCACTTAGAAAAATAATCAGCTAAAACTAAAAGGAGTCGTATGTTACCTTGTGCCGCTGGGAGGGGTCCTATGATATTCATTCCCCATTTGATGAATGGCCAGGATAAATTAACTGAGTGAAGGTGCTCGCCCTCCCGATGAATCATGGGGGCATATTTGTGGTATTGCTCGCACCTTTTGACGAAGTCGGCGACCTCTTTTTTCATCGTAGGCCAATAGTAGCCCGCTCGTATGAGGCATCTGACTAGAGCTCGGTTGCCGGTATGAGCTCCGCAGTGGCCTTTACGTACTTCCTTGAGGACGCGCCTCGTTTGGTTTGGTCCCAAGCATTTCTCCAGAGGGCCACCAAACGTTCTTTTGTACATGTCGTTGTTAATGATGTTGTATCTGGCCACCTGCATTCGCAGCTTCTTGGCTTCTTTTTTATCTGGAGGGAGTATCTAATCCTGCAAATACGAGATAATGCAATTGCGCCAATCCCAAGGTGAGTTTATAGTTCATACCTCGATTTGGTAGATCGATGAGTGGAGGAGGGTAATCAAGTTTCCTTTCTCTGGTATGTCCGTGGCCAACTTGGCCAGGCTGTCTGCTTTAACATTCTGGGCTTGTGGGATCTGGTCGAGTTGGCACTCTTCGAACTGGGGTAACAGCTTGCAGATTTTGCAACCTTTATTTTTTTATTTGGAAAGTCCTGTGACCTGATTGACGACGAGCTGAGAGTCGCACCGTAAGACAACCCGTCTCGCTCCGTACTTCAGTGCTAGTATTAAACATGCAATCACGACCTCGTACTCGGCCTTATTGTTAGTCATGTCTGGGCACCGGATGGACTGGCGAATTACTTCGCCAGTCGGGACCTCTAGTACGAGTCCCAGTCCCGATCCTAGGGCATTCGACGTGCCATCTATGTATAGTATGCATAGGTCGTGTAGTTCGGTGTGAGTGTGGGCGGCTTCCATTTCGACATCGGGCATTATTTTTGCGCTGAAATTGGCGAGCATTTGTGACTTTATCGCTGTTCGTGGGTGATAGGTTATGTCGTGCTTGCTGAGTTCTATATCCCATTTGGCCAATTGGCCTGATAGCTCGGGCTTGTGTAGAATAATCCTCAGGGGGGGAGGTCGTTACTACCGAGATGGGGTGGCACTGGAAGTAGGGTCTAAGCTTCCGTGAAGCTACAACTACAGCCAGGGCCAGCTTCTCGAGGTGTGGATGCCACGTTTCGGTGTCGACCAGGGTTTTCCTAATGTAGTATATTGGAGATTGTGTACTTTGGCTTTCTCGGACTAGAACCACGCTCACAGCTACGTCGGATACGGCCAAATAGGCGAGGAGATGTTCGCCAGTTTCTACTTTGGCGAGTAGCGGAGGAGATGATAAATATGCTTTTAGCTCCCTCAATACTTTGACGCAATCCAAGTTCTGTCGGAGTCCGTTATCTTTTTTGAGCACGCTTAAAAATTTGTGGCACCTATCGGAGGACCGAGATATAAATCTTGATAGGGCGGGTACACGACCGGTTAGCTTTTGTACTTATTTCTTATTGGTCAAGTTCTCCACTATCCATTCGATAGCTTTGATTTGGTCGGGATTAACTTGTATCCCTCGTTGTGAAACTAAAAAATTGAGGAATTTTCCCGAGGTCACTCCAAAGGCACATTTCTCAGGGTTTAGCTTCATGCCGCACTGCCTAAGTATGTCGAAGGCTTCTCTTAGGTGGTCGATGTAGTCCTCCTTTCTTTTTGACTTGACCAACATGTCATCGATGTAAACTTCCATTGTCTTGACCAACATGCCTGTACGTCACCCCTGCGTTTTTCAACCCGAACGGCATGACCCTATAGCAGTACGTCCCCTGATGGGTGATGAAAGTGGTCTTTTCCTGGTCCTCCTCCTCTATGAGGATTTCGTTGTAGCCCGAGTATGTGTCCAAGAAACTCAGCAGTTCGTGCCCAGCTATAGCATTGATGAGTTGGTCGATGTGGGGCAGTTGGAACGAGTCTTTTGGGCAGGCTTTGTTCAGATCCGTGAAGTCCACGCACATTCTCCACTTACCGTTCTTCTTTTTTACCATGACTACATTGGCGACCCACTGAGGGTATTTGGATTCTCGGATAGAACCGTTCATTAGCAACTTCTCGACCTCTTCACAAACAACGTCGTTTATTGCCGAGTTGAAATTTCATCTGATTTGCTTTACTAGGGGTAGAATGGGTTGACGTTCAACTTGTGAGTTGCTATCTCCTTTGGGATACCTGGCATATCTGCATGGGAAAAAGCAAACAAATCTTTGTTGTTAGCTAAAAAGTGTAGGAAGCTACCTGAATTTTGCAGTTTGTGACCGATATATGCCTTTTTGCTGTGGTCGTCGTTGTCGAATTGGATGGGGTTGAGGTCCTCTATGGTCGATCCCGTAGCTTCCCCAACCTCGGGATCTTTGATTACACCCTGCTCGTTCTCGCTTGACCTTGACCCTTCTGATTGCTATGCTTCTCTGGTTTTGCCTTTTAACCGTTATGTGCGTGCAGTTTTGAGTGATTAGATAGAATTCCTTGGCGGTGTGTTGGTCTCCTCGGATGCTGAATATTCCCCATGGAGTAGGAAACTTGACAACTTGGTACAAGCTTGAGGGGACGGCCCTTATGGCGTGAATCCAGGGTCGGCCTATGATGGCGTTGTACACTGTATCTTGATCCATGAGATGGAATGTGGTTTCTAACGTAACGCCGCCGGCCAGGACGTGCAATGTGATTTCTCCCGAGGTTCGCTGAACTGCATTGTTAAAACCTGTCAGTGTGATGCAGTGTGGCACTATCCTATCCTTGAGTCCCATCTGAGTAAGGACTCGCGGATGGATGATGCATGCACCGCTTCCGTCATCGAACATGATACATTTCACATCACTGTCTAAGATACGTAAAGTGATAGAAAGAGCGTCATAATGAGGGAAAATGAAACCGTGGGTATCTGACTTATCGAAGGTGATACTTTCTTCGAGTTCGTCATACTGTTCATGAGTGATCGACCTTTTAAGTTTGTGGGTAGTGGTAAACTTTACATTGTTGATGGACACGTTGTCGCTTCCTCAAGTAATCATTTGAATGGTTTGAGCTGGGGAGGGTGGTTTGGGCAAACGAAGTTGGTCCTTCCTCGGTCGCTCATCAGTTCTTTCAGGTGTCCTTGATGGAACATGTTGATGACCTCCTGCCTTAAGGAGATGCAGTCTTCGGTTTTATGGCCCCGCTCCTGATGGAATTTGCAGAGGGCGTTTGACTTTCTGGTGTTGGGATCGAATCTCATCTTCTGCTGCCATTTTACTTTTCGACCGAGCTTCTCCAATACGTAAACTATTTCTGAGGGGGAAACACAAAAATTGTGAGCAGATAACAAAGGGGGCATACCTTTCTCGCTTCGGTGAGTCCATGTTCGCTGCCTGGGTGGTCCTTCAACATGGCGTGGAGGCAGGAGGAGGACACCTCGACTGTACGGTTGGTGCCTTTCTCAACCGGACCGAAGCCCCACTTGATCTTATTTATAATCGCCCTTTCGGTCCTTTCTAGATTCGGTTTGTACCAAAGTTAACCGTTGGGTTGGTCCATTCAGGTCGTCTTCATCGGCTCGGACTTCGGCGCAGTAGGCATTTTGTATTTCATCCCAAGTTGTAGAGGGATATTTCATAAGGCGGATTAGTAGCTTTCTGGTCGCCCTCGAGCCATTTCTGTTTAACCCTTTCTGAAAGGTCGCCACTGCCATTCCTTCTGACACATTTGGCAAGGTCATCCTTACTCGGTTGAATCGGGTGAGGAAGTCCCTAAGTCCCTCTCCGGGTGACTGTTTGATAGCGAATATTTCGTTCACTCTTGCCTCCGCCTTTTTCGCTCCAGCGTGTGCTGTTACGAACTTATCAGACATTTCCTCAAACATTTCGATCGAACGTGCAGGCAGCTGCAAATACCAAGTTAGGGCTCCCCCGGTGAGGGTTTCGCCAAACTTTTTTAGTAATATGGACGACGCTTGTTCTTTGGTTAGTTCATTTCCCTTCAGCGCTGTGACGTAATGGGTTATGTGGTCCTCGGGGTTCATCGTCCCGTCATATATTTTTAGGTACGACAGCATCTTGAAGGTTTTGGGTACGGCGTGTGGCGCTGCCTCGTCACTGTATGGCTGCTCTACGAACTGGCCGGCATCCCTTTTCGGCATAAGTTTTGGGGTGCCTGGTATTTTATCTACCCTTTCCTGATGTTCTTTCATCTGTTCACGGAGCATCTTGTTTTCGTTCTCCATCTCTTCCATTTTTCTCAATATGGATGTGAGGGTATCACTGCCTGCACCATTAACATTGTCAGTAATACCTGTTAGGGCGGGGGCCTGCTGTTCGTTGAGAGTTGGTGCAATGCGAACTTCTTCGCCTCCCCTATTCGGCCTTTGAGCTGGCGTGTCGAGAATGTTGGTGAGCGTACTTGTCAGCCATTCTTCGAGCAATCTCTTCACTACGGGCGGTGCCTCCTCCGCTGTGGACGTGGAGGCCCCCTTGCCGTGTGAAGTCGTGATGTTTCCAGGGGGTGAGGGCGAGCTGCTCTGCCGAGAAGATGCATTTGGTTTTATGTCCTCGTTTTCCGCTTCGTTGATGGTGTGGAGGAGGTTGGCAATGGTGTCGGCTACTGCTTTCCTCTTTTCCTCTCTGTTGCCTGTCATGTCAGATTCGTGCAAACAAGGGAAACACCAGATTTTCCAAAGTTTTATGCGCTTTTCTTCTCAGATCTAGAAGAGACTAAATTTTAACTAGAAAGTTCCCCACAGACGGCACCAAATTATTTGACCATAAAGTCTTGAACCTTTTTGTTAAACTAATTAAGTGAATGATTAGGTAAATACTAGTTAAATATAATAAGTTCTAGATCCATGATTGGTATAAAATAACCACCTAGGAATCGGCTTTAAAGTGGTTTAATGATGTTCTTATGAATAAATGAAGAAGTAAAGACAAGCAATAAATGAAATGAATGGCAATGCCTGTAAATAAAGGGAATAATTCACCCAAATGTGCAACAAGGTGGATGATTCTCTTTCCGACAGTGATGTAGAATGGCCAAACGTGTAAACATCAAACACTTTATCGGATCTAGTGTAGAAAAGCTTGGACCAACACAACAAATTGAATATTCTTTGTAGATAACGTTTGTAGTTATATGAGAGTCAACTTCTCTAGAGAGAACTTATCAAAGGGAATCTTGGTTGCCCCCTTTTTTCTCCCTCTATTCCTGCTTATATGGGATATATCTCTTACATACTGAAAGTACAAAATGTAGAGAATATCCTATAGAATATTCCTTTAGAATATTCTATTGCTAAAACTAGTCGTTTCTGGCCAATCTAAGTGCTCGACTCCGACCTCGGCTGCTCGGCTCGTTAGCGTTGCTTCAGGAACATGACTTCGAACCAATCGACTCTCGAGCATGGCCTGTTCTGTTTGTCCACGATCTCGTCCAACACGAACTCTTCGGAGGTTTGCCTGAGCCATACTTAGCCGAGCAGCCCATGGCGAATTACGGTCCCCCCACTATAGTTTCTCTTCGTACTGAATTTTTCTGGTCGAATTTTGGCTCATACAATACTAAAACAAAAAGAAGAGAAATGAAATAAGTTACCCCTAAACTTGCACGGGAAAGTGATTTACACATTGATGCTTTACGGGTAACCTCTTACCCCTTAAACTTGTTTGAAGTGGAATTAATAACACCCTAAAAGCTTACATAGCAAAATAAATAAGTACGAAGAAAAATACGCACGTAAAAGTCCAAATTAAAGCCACAACCAAAAAAGGAAAATAAAAACAAGTTTCTTTCCCTCACCTAGTTCTCCATCTTCATACCAGTGCCTTTCCTATCTCTCAAGCACTGTCACACCCCACCCACCTGAAAAATCAAGAAACACGTTTCTCCCCATATGATATTTTCTTCTTTTTCTTACTCACCAGATATTCAAGAAACCCATTATTTTATTCACCACTCAAGAGGAGGGCTGTCGAGCATATGACATTGCAGTAATTGAACAGAGGGATTAACAACACGATGTCACAATGAGCTTCTTGTTGAAAGATTTAGAATTTGTTTTTTGTTTTCTTCTTTATATTATTGGACAAAACTAAATTTTTTGGGGAAAACAATTCTGAATCCTCTCAAAAAATTTCCCCAACAAACACAAAAATTATCTATATTAGTAGGTCTTCTGAAACCTTTTCGATAGTTGTGACTTTTTTGAAGTTTTGTAATGATAGTGGATTTGGTGATGGGTGATGAAAACTGTAGTGGGATGGTGATGGTGGAGTATATTTGTTGGAAAGTGGTGAATATAATGGTGATGGTTATGGTGGTGGTGCAATATTTCGTGTTAGGCTATGATTTTTGGTGATGGAAGACCTGAATTTGTTGGTGAGTGATAAAATCAGTGGTGGTTTGACGGCTTTGGTAGTGGTAGTAATGACATTGCAAAGAGTATTATTAAGATCTGACTCAGTGTTGATGTAGCAATGATGATTGATGTGGCAGCGAGTTAATACACATTCCATCATGTGACTGGTTATATGTATTTTAGGGTGGTATTAGTTCCACTTTAAACAAGTTCAGAGAGGTAAGACTAAGGATCCGTTTGGCCATAAATTTTGAAATAAATTTAAATTTTATTTGGCAAATACATGTTTGGTCATAGATTTTGCTTACATTTTAGTAAAATTTCAAATTTCAAATCCCAAAATCAGCCCAATAGCTGATTTTAGGCCAAAATATCCCTGTTACATTTTTTAAAAAATTGCCAAAAACTTTTATATTTTATAAAAGAGCTCACCATTTATTATTTTATAACAATGTTGCTTCGTCTTCTTGGTCATCCGATAGTGTATCATGTACTCCCTCCGGTCCACAATAAGTGACCTATTCATTTTTTTATTTTGGTCCAAAATAAGTGTCCATTTATATAATCAAGAAAAAATTTATTTTTTTTTACAAAATTACCCTTATGTACATATCCCTAAAAAGTTTTCTTACTCCTCACATTAAGGGTAGTTTAGTCATATTAGGTACATTTGTATATAATTTATGATTTTCTTAATGGGCGTGCCAAAAGCAAATTGGTCACTTATTGTGGACCGGCGGGAGTAGTTCATTATAAAAATGATAACTTTGTACCAAGTTTATTTATGTTTAGGTCTATGGTTTGCGATAATATAATAAATGTTATTGATATTGGTACTGTTGGGTATTTGTGATAGTATATGAAACTTGTGGGTATAAGTCACGTTTCATATTTGTCCAAAACAAATTTGGGAAATATGTTTGAAAACTGATATCGAAACACATTTTCATCTTCAAACCAAACTTCACCCAAATTAAATTTTTCAAAACAAATTTGGAAATTTATGGCCAAACGCTAGCTAAGAGGTCGCCCATAAAGTAGTGTAAGGCCTCATTTTTTTTAAGATTAAGACGTCTCAATCTGAATACACATCTGAATATCAAGATGTGCATTAAGATTAAGACATCTGAATCTGAATACACATCTGAATATAATAAGATGTCTATTAAGATCTGAATACTAAATAATTAAGATTGTTTGATTTTTAACATTTGAATGTATAAAATTTATCTTTATTTGAAAATTAATAAGCATAAATTTCAAATGAAATATGAACTAATCTAATATTCTATCAATAAAATATATAGTTTTTTAAAAATATAATAGTTGTTGGTGGTGATGGCTAACAGGTGAATGCCGGCTAGAACAGTGGTTGGTGGTAGTTTTGGTTGATGATGGTGGTTCATGCTAGTAGCTAGTAGTGATTGGTAGTGGTGGAGATTATGATTGAGGATGATGGTGGTGATAATTAATAATGGCGGGTGGTGGTAGTAGTTGTGACTAAGGAAGGTGGTGGGTGAGTGGTGGTAGGTTATATTGATGGGTAGTGCCGGCTGTAGTTGTTGATGGTGATGGGGTGGTTAGTTGTGGTAGTTGAGGTGGATGAGTATTGATTATGAGTGAGAATGATGGTGGTCGGAGTGTTGGGGATAATGGGTGGTGATGGTCGATAATGGTGGCGGCTATGATTGAGGATGATGGTGGCGTCGTGATGGTGGAAGTGGTGGTGGTGGGGGTAGGGGTGGTGGGGGTGGTTGAGTATGGTAGTGGTGGCGGCATGGTGGTAGTTGATAATGGTAGGCGGTGGCGGCAGTTAATAATAAATATGTGATAGCATCTTAATGAAATTAAGTTTCTGTTATAGATCTTAATCATACAGACCTATTCAGACCCGTTAAGTGGTTATGAAGCAAAAAAAACAAACACACTTAATGATTAAGATCTGAATAGTTAAGATTCATACTTTATAAACAAACACATTTAATGTTCTGAGATCTGAATGATAAAGATTCAGACCTCCATTAAGTACAAACAAATGAGGCCTAACTAACTTTTCCGTGCAAAGTTTAGTGTCTTTTCTCTCAAAAAAGAATAAGGGAATAACTTTACGTAGTTTAACGTAAATGCTAAATTAAGAGTATTACAGGCCAAAGTAACAATACTCAACATAATATCCCATAACTAGGTGGTACGGAGTCACATGCTCTAACTGAATGCACGAGATCAATATTAAAATACAGAACTATATGAAATACATAAAGAGTATAAATGAAACAATAGGGTGACTCCGAGGCCTGCGGTCATATCATGCAGCGATACCTTGAAGTCTCCAGTGTGTGTAATGCTTCATTGTTGATTAGTCCGGTCCGAAGTACTTGGATTTGCACAAAAATATACAGAAGCGTAGCATTAGTACACCACATTCAGTACCCAATAAGTATCAAGACTATCCTCGGTGGAGTAGTGGCGAAGTTCAAGTCGTGTGATACTCACTAGACAAATAACATGTGCAATGAATATATCGAAGAAAACTGACTTGAAATATAATTGAAAACAAGAACCACAACCCCTTTAGAGCATGTAAAATATCTCAACGTGTAATAAAACCTATTTCTGATCACGAAACATCAAATAGAGGTAAAGCATGTGATGAAATATCAAATACAGCCATAAAATCAGGTAAGTGCCGCCAAACATAAGTTTTCAGAAATAATTATGCAATAGAATAACAGCTATGTCTCAACACAATCACAACAATAATGAGAACACCCCAAAATATCGCGTAACATTATCAAAATGCCACCCTTATTACTGCGCACGTGTACATATATAAAATTATATGCCACTTTTATTTCACCACATGCGCATATAGCCACCCTTATTATGCCACGTGGGCAGCCCGAGATAAGGCCACCATTATTTTGCATCGCGCTCACAACCATAGACAAAGAAATTGCACGACAAAACCTCGTGCTGACACCCTCAATCAATCCGCTCAACATATCCACAATTGCCATGGTACCACAAAATAATAATTTCAAGTGCCACGATATCACAACAATAGTACTAAAGTGTCATCAAAGTATAAGTTCACAACTTTTAACAACCGTGCACGAGGACATAACAGATAACCATAGAAGCGGAGGGATATTCAATAGATAAAGCATATCTATGGCTAAGTCAATGAAATGAACATGATCAAATAGTCATAAAGTGATTTTACAAGTTTTAAATAAAGTTCATTATCACATTAAGGCATATTAATAGCCTACGGTCGATTCCGT